GAACAATGGGTTAATAATATGGGTAAATCATTAGATGATGATAAACCAAATGGAGCCATTCTAGAGAGTCGACCTCCTAGGCTTGGAATTGGTGCAATAGTTACTCGTGAATCTAAACACCTACGTTCAAATGATCCCATAGAAATAAAATTGCTCGCTACATTGAATGCTAAAGAAAGGAAAGCTGAAAGGAGGGTCGACGAGCGTGCAATATTTGCAAATGATAAAAGGGTTACGTTGGTGAAGACATTGACGACGAGGAATGTAAAAGCAAACCCAAAGCATTTTCCAAGAAGAGACCTGCAGTACGTTCTCCCCTCTCTTCATAATGAATTGTCAAAAATAAGAGAGGGAGATAGCAGCAAAATAAAAGGTTCCATTGGCCTAGCATTGAATGCATTCATCATTCATCAAAGAGACACTGGCTTAGCATGTTCAAGTCCAAGCCTTGCAACACTCTCCACCCATGGCACCGCCACCGTCACATTCTCAACTCTTCCCTCAAACCACCGTCAGCAGCCCCTTCAGGTGGTGCGAGTGAAGAGAGGAGCGCTACAGAGCCAAAGGCGAGATGAAATCCGAAGCCGGAGCAAATACACATTCTTGAAACTATCTTCAATTCTGGAATGGTTAATATATCCTCCCAGAGAGGAGATTAGAAACAGCAAAACTAAACTCCAAGAGTACGGTCAAGTCCGCGACGCCAACGTCTTCTATTGGTTCCAGAACAGAAAATCAAGAACCAAGCACAAACTCCGCCACGTCCAAACCTCCACCAAATCGTTGCCGCCGCTGCAAAATTTTCAGCAACAACAAAACCCCACTCATCCTCTCATAGCCGGCCCCTCACCGTCTTCGTCATCATCTTCTTCCGAGAAATCATCTCCAAATGATTCTGCAAATCACCGGCACAACTTTTTTCATGCACGCAATGAGTTGTTGACTTAACTGCCTTCCATCCATCAAACCTCAACTGGTTTTACTTCTTCCGATGGCGGCACGTTCACACAAGCGCTCTGCTTCCCTGCCATTTCTGCACCACGGTTGAGAATTCTCTAAACCTTTTGCTCACCGAACTGTTGGGCTTCGTCGCCGCCGTTTCACCTCCAAGTACTTGTGGCAGAGTGACGGGTCCTACAAAATAGACGATTTGGCATTCGAGGTCACGGCGGCACACATCAACGTGAAGGCGGTATTTGGTGATGACACGGTGCTCATTCATTATTCCTCCGGCCAGCCCATTCCGTTGTAACTTCTTAAGAGATAGGGGAGAGGAAATTACATTTGTACCCCTTTCTTAACGCCTATATAACTGACTGTTAACGGAAGGACTAATAGCGGAACAAATTTGATAGTTAAGGGTTTATTTTGTCCAAATTAAAAGTCAAGGATCAATTTTAGAAAATCGTAATAATCAGAGGACCATTGCTGGAATTAAATCTATATATATATATATATATATATATATATATATATATATATATATATAATCAATCGGTTCTTCGGTTCGGTTCGAGTTTTACCCGAACCGATCGAGTTACCTAAACTGAGTACCGATCGGTCCTTCGATTTAGGACCGAACCGAAGTGCCCAACTCTAGTTACATTGGAGGCAAGTGCCCAGCTCTAGTTACAGTGGAGGGAACCTTGCCTCCTCCTTCGATCTCCTCCTTCATCGAAGGAGGAGGTGGCTGCCTCCTATAACTTGGCAAAGGAGGCAACTTCCTTTTTAAAATTTTTTATTTTATTAATATATTAAATTTGTCAAAGAAATTAAAAATATAATTATTTTATTTTTTAGTAATATGTCATAGGAAAAGGTGATCGAAACCTGTTATCTACCTGTAAAGAATATTAATTGCGCGTTTTTTGTAATATTAAATTGTTCAATTACACACTTTTTTGTTCTGTGTGCTAATAGCAGGAGTAATAAAAGTTTGATGACGTATTTGATAATTTTTCCTATTAAAAATAATCATGTATATGAGTACGGAGCGTTATGTTGTGCATCCGTATGCACCATGCATGGTGCATACGAATGCAAAAGCGACGTCGTTTTGGCGTCTAACTTAAAAAAAAAAAAAAAAAAATCAGAATTGCATAACTACACATCCATAATTTCACTACACTTCCAGAATTGCATAACTGCACTTCCAGAATTTCATAAGTAAAATATCCAAAATGAATGAACTAAAAATGAATAAACTAAAAAAAAATAACATAATGTTGTTGCTGGGAATCGAAACTGATTTTATTTTTTTAAGTAGGACACGCGTTTTATACAAAACGACGTTGTTTTTGTATCCGTATACACCCTGCATGGTGCATACGGATGGACAACATAATTTGCCTATGAGTACCTTACCTTACGATGTGGACTACGATTTTTAGTATAATGATTGACCAAAAGATTGGGCTTTATGAGCCCATATATGGACCATAGCCTCAAGAATTCCATTTTATGGGCTGGAATTTCCCCCTTTTAAGATCAAGGTACAAAGCCCAAGTGGCTTTCATACAATTGTTATGCCATGGACCAAGGTCCACCTTACAAAGTGGACCCGTATTCAAAACAGCATCGTTTTGCTTCAAAATGGTGTCATTTTGCTTCAAAACGACGCCGTTTAAATTTAAAAAAAAAAAAAAAAATTTGCTTCCTTCGTTGCCATCTGTCTTCAGAATTCATTCCTCTATATTCATAATTTTTTAATTATATATTCACAACTTTTGGACTCTATATTCACAATTACAGAAATCCATATTCACAATTTCATAACTCTATATTCACAATTAAAGAATACTATATTCACAATTACAGAACTCTATATTCAACAGTATAACACAATTTTTGAACTCTATATTCACAAAAAGAATATCATTGGTTGAGGAAACGATACCACTAAAGGCACCGTTATTCCAGACACGCATTTTGGACCTGAGTCCACCTTGCAAGGTGGGTCTGGGTCCACGGCATAATTTGCCGCTTTCATATGATTGGGAGCCAATACGGTCCACACGGTTGTGTGGACCATGATCCAAAATGACGTTGTTTTGATGTTAAAAGAAAAAAATTTCTTGCTCCGCGTGCGTGTTAAAATAATAAACATTATGAGGTAAAATAATGTACTTAGCCGACCCAATATTTGTTTTTTTCATTTGAGAGGGGATTCAAAGTTCAAACATCTGACCTCTCTTAAAGGATGAGAGTGTACGACCACTCAAACCAACCAAGCTGGTTATGTATAATGTATTTTATGTGGTAGAATAATAAAATTTATAAGGTAAGATAATATATTTTATAAATTAGAATAATATACTTTTTATATTAGAATAATATATTTTATGAGTTAAAATAATTTATTTTAGGTGACCCACACAATAATGATTGCATAAAAGTCTCCCCGTCCTCGACGACAAGAAACATGTGAAGTTGACACCTTAACACAAGTAGTAATAATTGGATATCATTTTTAATTATTATATGCTCATCAACATCGATCAACAATAAATAATTTCTATTACTATTATTTACAATAAAAATAATTAATTTAATATAGTTAACCCAAACACACGCGAATTCAATATACTTAGATACATATTATAATTTATTTTTTTTTAAAGATACATATTAATATTTATTGATTATTTTTTTTTTGTAACAATGAGTATTCGCAGACTCACAGTTACTATTTGAATTGAAGTTGTGCACTAAGTTTCCTCTAGTGATATTTGTTAACAAAAGATGATAAAAAGATAAATCAGTTTAAATTGTCCATAATCAATTAACACAAATTAAGAAGACTAATGAATCACTCTCATCGATATAAAATTACTTTGTAATTTTTTTTAAAGATTTATTCGTTACAAGGCAGTATATGTTCTATACTTTATTAATTTTTTTCAGTCCAAAGAATCAATGGCCCTGTTTGATCTTGTGATCACACATTTACAGGGTGTTTGGTTGAAGGGAATTTAAATTCCTTTCCCATTTAATTCCCACCTAACTCCAAAAGCCACAAAATTCCCTTGTTTGGTTGAAAGGATTTGCAATTCCCCCATTTTCATGGAATTAAAATCCAATGTCCCCCTATGATTTTAATTCCTGAAATTTTAGGAAGAACAAAAGATACTGATAAGTCAAAATTATCTCTTCCCTTTTTAACTTAAAATTAACGTCTGACAATAACAATGGACATTTTAGACTTTATACTACTTATTCCCTTTCAATTCCCATATATACCAAACATTGGAATTGAAATTTCCAGTAATTCTGTTCCTGTAAACCAAACACTGTAATTTAAATTCCAACTTTATTCTCAGTAATTCATCTCCCATGGAATTGCAATTCCTTTCCAACGTAATTCTCCCTCTCCAACCAAACGCCTTGTTAGAATAGCTGAATAGTAACCGAGGTGTTACATTGTAGTTGACAAATTATTTTGTAGTTTATGGTCCTGTTTGGTAAAATGGCTATTAGCTGATAGCTGTTAACTGTTAGCTGATTGTGTTAATTAGAGGGTATAAATAGTTGATAATATTGACTGATTGTAGAAAAGTGTTTGGTAAATTAGCTGTTAGCTGATAGCTGTTTGGTATAATTTCTTTTCTCAAAAAGCTAATTGAAAAAGTTGTTTGGAGTAGCTTTTTGAATTTTAGCCTTTTGGAATTGCAAAAAGTTAATTAACCAAACATTTATATTGATATTTTAACTAAATTAAACAATTAATAGTGGTCAAATAAGTCAAAATTGACCTATAGACTAATTTTTTACCAAACAGGACCTATATGTCATTGTCTAATAAAGAATCTTAGGTAGCTCCAGTCTTAGTTAAGGTATTTGAGGTGGAGCCCCAACGGCCAAAACTGCCGTCTTTTTGCGCACACGGGACTGTTTGCTGTCGTGGGTGGCCCTTTCTCCCTATGCATTTTCTAACTCGTTTTTATTTTCTTCTTTTTTACTCATCCAAATGCACAACCAAAACGTTAAAAAGAGCATAGTCCTAAAAGAGAAGTTTCCAACCCACATAGGAAAGCATATATTCCCCTTCAAAAATAATAAAGTCTGGGACTACAACTGCTTTAACTATATGGATCATCAACAAAAAAAAAAATAAAATCCCACTTCCCACTAGTTATAATAAATTTCCATAATTATTACAAGCACACAGGTCATTTTCTTCACCCTCTTCCTCCTTCTTTCTTCTTCTTCACTTCTTCTTGCAGATCTTTCCATGGACCCTTTGACTCTCAAGATCAGGCTCTTCTTCCTCCACTGGATTCACTGCAGATCTCACCCCAGTAAACCCCCCTCCATTCTTGAAATTCTGTGTTGAGTTCTTGAAATTGCACCCCAGAATTGCCAATTGGTTTAGTAGCTTTAATTTTGGTAACCCTCATTTTTTTTTGTATATATATACTTAGAACCTTATTGTTGCTGTTGGAAATTGTGAAAGATTGTTGCTTGTGATATATGACTCTGAATTGTGAATCCATAATCAGCTCATATGTAGTCAATGATGAATTGTCAATAATTGTTTAGTATTGATCTCAACAATTTAGTTGAATGGGTTTTATCTAATGGCTGGGCACTCTCTTTTGGGTTAAAGTTTGCATTTTGATTTGGGGACTCAATTTTGTATTGACTTGTTAATTTTAGGTTCAGTGTCCTTAGTCAAGCACTTTTCATACAAGGATATAAAGAGAGGCACTGATGGATTTAGAAGAATCCTTGATACCTCTTCCAATGGGGGGATGGCATATAGAGCTAGGTTTCAGAATGGCCAGGTTGCTTTTGTTAAAGAAATCAAAATTCTTGATGATCAAGACGACGATGTCTTCTTTGGCGAAGTGCGGCTCCTTGCGCGTTTGCATCATCGCCACATTGTTGCTCTTAGGGGTTTCTCGAGTGGACCTAAGAGGTAAAAATTTTCCCTCATTTTTTCTGGTATGGAACTTGTCTTGGTATATTTATGTTCTGATCTAGAAGGGAGAAGCTAAATTTTTTTACAGATTAATTGTTCGAAATTGAGTTCCTTGTCAATCGATTGTATTTAGATATTCTAGCATTGGTTTGGTTTGTGATTTACTGCATTTCCTCAAATGTGGCAGATGTGTAGTGTCTTTTTTCAGATTGGAGTACTCTTCAATCCATTTCTCAGGTACATAGCGATTAATCGGGATAATATTTGCCAAAAATCACATGTTTTCTTTTTCATAGTGCCTTTTTTTCTCTCTTTTCCCTGCAATTTAAATATTTTTCTCTGGCCTAAAGTATCAAAATACTTCAAATGACATCCCAGAACTCCTAGGAAGTCGATATTTGGGTCGTTGCTGTTTGAAGAGAGTGTTTTAGAGGAGAACCAATTGAGCAGTATTAGTATAACAAACTCTAAAGATACATTATTGTGATTCTCAAACAATTTCAGGTTTCTGGTGTTTGAAAGTACGGAGAATGGGAGTCTGAAGGATCACCTGTCCGGTATACATTACATCTGTTGTGTTTTTTTCGCCCCTTAAAGATGGATCTCGTTTATGGTTTATGGATTAACGGTTGGATTTTTTTTTAGACCCTTTGAAGACTCCATTAAACTGGAGAACAAGGTTGCAGATAGCCATTGGCATAGCTGCTGCTTTGGTAGGTTCTTCAAGCTGTCCATCTTTCATAATACCCGAGAATTTGATCACCAGTTTCAATCTTGAGCACAGTAGGAAAAATTCAGTTTCGTATGTTTTGATGCGTATAGGAATACTTGCATTTCTTCTGTGATCCCCCGCTCTACCTCGCTACCATCAGTTCAAGTACCATTATGTTGGACGAGAACTTCACTGCAAAAGTAAGTATTCACAAACCGGGATAACTATCTGTGCATATAGTTGGAGTTCTGTAACCCCAAATTGCAATCTTTAAGAACATGTCATGAAGATGATCATACCATTTTGGATCCCTTGTTACAGCTTGCTGATATCAGCCTCCTTTGTTCTGTTGGAAGTGACACAATGCTGCCAGAATCATCATGCTCAAAAGGTACGATGCTCATAACAGCATGTTTGGTTCATCGAATGAATTTTAAAGGAATAGGAATCGTATTTCATAAGAAATGGAATAGACCGGGAAGAGAACATGGATTATAGTTAGGAATAGAACAATAATTGTTTCTATTATTTGGTTCGCTGAACTTGTTTGATTCGTTGAAGAAATAGACCTTTGGAATGTTATCCTAGTGTTAATGATGTAGAATATACGAGCAGTCTACTCTACGGTGTACAGTGCTAGGTCGGTTCCGGGCTCGGTTCCTGTGCCTATCTGCTTGTTTTAGACTCGGATTACTTGATAGTGGGTCAGAGGTCCCCGAGCTAAAGATCACTTCGTAATAAATGCCAAAAAATCCCTTCCCATAGTAATTAATGCGGTATTTATAGGGGTTCAAGGGAACAAGTCCCGGCCCAGGCTTGCGTCACACGTAGAGTTCATGCACGGGGCCATGGCCACGTGCCCTGATATTCCTGAGCGCACTACGCTATGTCACAGGGCACCAGTAGGCCCAGTAGGCAAACACAGGTCGGGAAGGTGTGAGCCTTAGGTCAATTGTGGTCGGATCGGGATCAGCCCGTAAAGAGGGTCCACTACCGACCACCATACAGGCGCGGTGCTCAGGGAATAATCCCAGTAAATAAAAAATAACAAATTTAGACTATTTCTGAAAATTTAAGAATAGCCTAATGTCTGGGAAGCTCTGGAATAGTTATTCTCTTTGCAAGGGGAATAACTCATTCTTGAGAACAATATTCCCGGAACAAAAAGCATAAACAAATTATGGAATATACCTATTTCCGAAATTATCATTCTATTCCAGGCCTGTTCCGCAAACCAAGTGTGGTGTAAGTTTCTTTGTGTTGGTGCCTGTTATGTTTAAGTTTATGAGATTAAAGAATGAAAAGAAGTTTGAATTTGCAGTATGCAGGGGTGAGAGATGCAAGAACTTGGTTTTCCAGCTGGGAGTGCTGATCCTGGAGCTAATCACTGGGCAATCTGCAGAAGATGGGGGTGGTGATTTAGTGAAGTGGGTACAAGAATCTCGATTCAGAACATCGATATACAAAATGTTGGATCCTGATCTTGGAGACGAGTATGATTCCCAGGAGCTTAAAGGTCTTCTAACAGTGGCAAGATTGTGTATAAAATCTGCTAACAAGCCAGCAGTAAAGACATCCCAGATTTTATGGTACCTCCAAAACAAAATAAGGATCACCCAAGATGTTGTTCAATAGTGTTGTCTCATAGTCATATGATAAATACAAAAGTACATGGTTTTTGGTTTGATCAAGAAACTAGCTGTTTGTTTACACATTTCACAGTTCCAATATAGAAGGATTTATAAAAGGAAAAGGACAGAAACAGGTAGTTTAGTAGTTTACTGCTGAGCACATTGTACTCTCTGGGCTCCACCATGCATATCATCACCATCCTCTTCATATGCCTCCTGCTGGTGGGCCCGCTTTCGCCGCATCTCCTCCTCGATGTTGACATCGTGCAAGGTGGTCTCCTCGCATTCGTCGATTTCCATGTCCGAGTACTGTGACTTTTGCCTTGGTGGCAGGATGGCCTCCAGTGCCTTAACCTGTTCTGGGCTGAGGGAGTCTGGGAAGTCCACCATGAAATGAATATACAGTTTTCCTTTCATGAATGGCCTCTGGTATGTTGGCATTCCTTCATCATTGATTGCTTTGAACTGATCTGAAAACAGTGAGTGAATATATCAAAGTTAGTGTTGAGCGGAGGCCGGTAAAAGGTCAAGTCCAGTAATTGGTTACTAAGGAATTATTGGGCCGAGACTGATAACGGGCCAGGTCCAACATCATGTCTATCGAAAATGTGTGACAGTATAAGGAAATAAAATTGTGTCTTCGCTATGAACTATAGCTTTTGACGTAACGGTAAGCACTTAATCAGTTAATCCTAACCAGGTCAGACAGATTTTGGTGTAGTAGTAAGTGTTGTCTAGTGTTGAGCGGAGGCCGGTAAAAGGTCAAGTCCAGCAATTGGTTACTAAAGAATTGTTGCTGATAACGGTCCAAGTCCAACATCTGTCTATCAAAAATGTGTGACAGTATAAGGAAATAAAATTGTGTCTTCGCTATGAACTATAGCTTTTAACGTAGTGGTAAGCACTTAATCCTAACCAGGTCAGACAGATTTCGGTGTAGTGGTAAGTGTTGTCTAGTGTTGAGCGGAGGCCGGTAAAAGGTCAAGTCCAGCAATTGGTTACTAAGGAATTGTTGGGCTGAGACTGATAACGGTCCATGTCCAGCAATTGGTTACTAAGGAATTGTTGGACTGAGACTGATAACGGTCCAAGTCCAACATCCTGTCTATCGAAAATGTGTGACAGTATAAGAAAATAAAATGTAGTGATAAACACTTAATCCTAGCCATGTCAGACAGCTTTTGGCGTAGTAGTAAGTGCTGTATTAGGGTTTTTGATAGGTACCAGGTTTGACAACTTCTCCGGGATTTGATTTAATCAGGAGTTGTCTTCCATCCAAATGTGTGAGTATGAACTGGAAGCCACACAACGCCTCGGTGAGTGTCAGCGTGTGATCCACAAACAGATCGTCGCCCTTTCTCTTGAACTTAGGATGTTCTTTCTGCTGAAGAACAAACACTATATCTCCGGTTATCATATCAGGCTGCAACAACACCACACAGAACAAGTTTCCAAGTTAATAATTCTATCGCCCCCCGAGAATGCTTCGAATAAACAGAGTCCTAAAAAACATCATCTTACTTACAGCTTCATCTGCCTCTCCAGGGAATGTAATCTTCTGTCCATTTTGCATCCCCTTTTCGACATGAACTTCAAGAACCTTCTTTTCTGGGACAACCTTGTCGCCTTTGCACTGAGGACATCGGTCTTTGTCGTTGATGGTTTCTCCCGTCCCCTTGCATTCATTGCAAGGCTGCTGCATTTGCTGGATCATAGAGGGGCCAAGCTGTCTTATTGTCACCTTCATTCCAGATCCTTCACACCCTCCACACTTCATTGAAGATCCAGATTTTGACCCTTTTCTGTATTATTATCCAAGTTAGTACTAAATACTAGACACCTTTTTTTTTATCCTTTTAACGATAAAGAATCTCACACCTATATCGCTTACCCATTGCACTTGGAACAAATTACATTGCGCGAGAGAGATAGCTTCTTGGTTGTTCCGCTGTACATTTCCTCCAAAGAGACCTTCAATGGATGTATAACATCTTCTCCTCTCCTTTGCCTCCGGCCTCTGCCCCCACCGCCACCTGCTTAGCATTAGCGTTACTCCCTTATAAGTCTTTATGTTTCAAACTTAAATGATTGAATGTTCTAATACCAAATTGAATAACATGTTATTCTTGAGTGTTTATAAGAAGCATTACTCCCTCCCTTATAAGTCTCTACATTTCATAACTAAATGATTCATTGCTCTGATACCAAACTTAACAGCATATTCTAGAATGCTTAGTAGAAGCATTATTGTATTACAAGTCATGCTCTAATACCAAATTAGAGTACTTAGCAGCAACATTACTCCAATATAAGTCTTTCATTGCTCTAATACTACAACGAATAACGAGTTCTGAAATGCCTAGTAGAAGCATTACTCTTATAAGTCTTTCATTCCTCTAATACCAAATTAAATAACGTGGGTGTTTTGGAGTACTTAGCAGAAGCATTACTCCATTATAAGTCTTTCATTGCTCTAATACCATTGAATAATGTGTTCTAGAGTGCTTAGAAGAAGCATTACTCCATTATAAATCTTTCCTTGCTTTTATACCAAATTGAATAACGTAATTCTAAAGTGCTTAGCAGAAGCATTATTCCATTATAAGTTTTTCATTGCTCTAATACCAAACTGAATAACGTGTCCCAGAATGCTTAAAAGTTAGAAAAAGCATTACTCCATTATAAGTTTTTCATTGCTATAATATCAAATTAAAGTTTACCTCCGAATGGATTTAAAAGTTAGAAAAAGCATTACTCCATTATAAGTTTTTCATTGCTATAATATCAAATTAAAGTTTACCTCCGAATGGATTTCCACCCCCGAAAAAGGATTGGAAGATATCAAACGGATCATGCATGCCAGCACCACCACCCATCCCTTCTTTGAGTGCATCTTCACCATACTCATCATAGATCTCTCTCTTCTCTGGATCACTCAATACTTCATAAGCTTGAGCTAGCTCCTTAAACTGTATAAATATCACAATACATCCATTTTAACAAACCTCCCATCGCTTGTAATTTGACAATGTACTACATAAACATTCATTTCTGGAGACGCTTCAATATAATGATTTAAACTCAGTCAACTTGGTTAAGCTGTTAACTTGATAAATCCCAACATGAAAGATTTATTGATCTTGATTTAAACCGATCAATATTTATCAACAATCTAGATTGATTTTCCTAATCACTAAAAAAAAAAAAAGATGGGTTATGGGTAAGTACCTTTTCAGGATCGCCGCCCTTGTCGGGGTGGTTCTTGATGGCGGCTTTCCGGTAAGCCTTCTTGATCTCATCCACACCGGCATTCTTGGACACGCCCAGTATATCATAGTACTTTGTGTTGTCGCTCTTTTTGGCTCCTCTCCCAAACATCTCTCTTTCCTCTTCTTCTGCAAATTATTTTCCAGAAATTTCTTAGACGAGTCACTCCGAGGATGTGGCAGTTGATGGAAGGTGGTTTTATAGCGGAAATGGACGGTTCAGATTTCATCTTTCACCTTTTCATGTCGGAAGCCGTTGAAGAATCCAGAATTCTCTGGGAAGTATTAAGAATTTATTGACCGTAGGATGGGTGTGACGGACTGACGGACGGACGGGATTCGATTCCAGAGGTTTCTACAATGCGCGCGAGCGATTCTCGGTTTTTTTTTTTTTTTTTTTTTTTTTTTTTTTTTTAATTGTACGAATTTTAAATATGAGCCTCGAATTCTCACATAATCATGGGTAACTCCACGATACTACAAATATTGATATTTTTGCCCCCAAACTTTCTTTTTTCCTCGAAAGCAAAAAAATAAAAAAATAAAAAAATGGAATGAGGGCCAAATTAGCCACTGAACCTAACGTGAAAATGCAATCAGACCACTGGACTAAAAAAAAAGGCAATTACCCCACTCAAAGTCTCAAATTTCTTCAAATTCACCGGATAGCCGGTTTACACCTCTTACTCCCGGTTGATTGCTGACATAGACTAATTACGTGGCAATATTTATTCTTTTCCTTTTTTTTTTCTTTGTTTTCCTTTCTTCCTCCTCCGCTCTCTTCTTTCTTCTGCTTGTTAATCCAACTGCCGTTGTGACCCGCCGCCACCCAAGCCCCGCCGCTCGTGGTACTGCTTCGTCGAGCCGCCTCACAGCCCCGACAATCCACTACTACTTCAGCTGCTTTCTCTCACAAGACCAAATCCTCATTTTCCATTTCCCATTCCTTCTCCGCCTCCCCCCTCTCTCACAAACCCATCACTTGTGATGAGCTTCTTGCATCGCCCTCGTCGCTCCGCCGCGAGGGCTCTAATGCTAGTGCCGTGACGGAGGAGTGCGGCCCCGAGGGAATCTTCGAGACTTCGACGCGAGGTTGAATCTCAAGGGGAGTAATGTGAGTGCCTTGGTGGTGGAGCTCTCCGTCGAGGCTCTCACTGCTAACAACTTGGTATTTGCCGACTTGCTTGCGGATTATCGAAAAACACTGTGTGTTCCCACCCTAAGCTTTTTGTTAGAAATACCCACAAGTTTTTAGCTGTGTATTTGCTGACTTGATGCAGAATGCTATGTACTTTTGGAAATTTTGGTTATATTTTAGCTGTTATGGTTGTACTTTCCTCTGCATTTTTGGGTTTTGAAATCTCTGAGTTTGATAGAACCAAGAATTGGGGTTTTTGCATTTGGGTTCTTGGAGAAGTATGGTGGTGATGATGTTGATGGGTTTGTTGTTGGGGTTAGGTATAATCACGAAGATGTTGATGACCTGCTGGTGGCCACTGCTGCATGTTGATGAGTGAGAGGGAACGAAGACCAGAGGTCGCCGGATCTTCTTGTTGTTGCCGTCGTTCGGTGCTGCTGTTGCTGGTTCGTCGGAGCATCACCAGAGGTCGCCGTCGTCCGCACAATGCATGATGATGACCAGAAAAGTTTGCTTCACTATGTGTACGCCGAGAAACCCCCATGCATCAAAGATCGGTCTCCAAAGCCAAAGTAAAAAACCACCTTGACAGCCGTCGAAGAAGGAATCACGCCGCCCCACGCCCAAACTCTGTACGCAGGAAAAAAGAAGAACAAAAGA